GTAATGGAAGCTACTAGAAATAGGGCATAACCTGCTGTACTGAACCTGGACTGATAGAGGTCTTTATTAACATGTTTAACATGTGAAATGCAAATATCCTTTACATTATGACAAATAGCTTATTACTGCAGACAATAAATCTAATAAAATACAGACCCGTCCTCTCGTTAGAGTGGGCGCCCCATAGTAACACGACCGTAACTGTCAAACAGTAGTAAATATATGGTCATAAGCCCCAGGTTGGGCTCGACACCAAGACTGACTGACTGAATGGCCGACTTTGACTAGTTCAGAGAGTGAGTGCAGTGCAGTTAAGGGTGGAATGGTGGAGTGTTAACCAGCGTGTAACAGAAGTTAAAAAATCTCAATTGTTAAGATTCGTTACCAGGAAACGTCTAGTGGAAATACTGCAGAGGAATAGCGATTGTTGAGAGCTGTTACCAAGTAAAGACTAGAGAAAGTAAACTTAGAGAACTTAATGTGGAAATCAGCAATAGTGTTATAGTTATTTGTAGTTACGACATGTAAGTGGTCTATAAATCTATTCATCAATCCAAACCCCGTCTTTAATTCAATTCTTTATTATTTATGTGCCGAGTCAACAGCCGCAAGGCCAATTACAGACAGAGCACAGTGTAGATGAAAGTAATTACATTATAGACAAACACATTAAAAGTCAAAGAGAAATTACAGGCAAGTACTTGGGAAAACACAATAATGAAGAAAAATAAACAAATAAGCAAATAAATGATAATAATAACAATAATAATAATTTCATTAACATAAAACTTAGTGTTATTAGGAAGTGAGATGTGAAATATAAATATTTAATTAAGAAATGAAAAGTATCGATTTTCAGAGGATAATAATAATAATTAATTTTGTTTTATTGCAAATAATAATAATACTAACAATTATACTATATTTAAAATTTGTTTGGGTAGAACATTCTTGACTCCGAATACGTCAACATCCCTGCAGACAACATTAGCAGCTGCTGCACATCCAGCAGAGGGACAATTTTTAGATGAGGAATAAACATTGAACAATGCAAAATCTCTGATATACCGAGCAGGAACTCGGAGACCAACAATTTCCAGAATAGAAGGGCAGAATTTCGAGCCAAAATAAACTTGAATAAGAAAGACAGCATCAAGGCGATTTCTCCTAGTATGTAAAGTATGCAATTTTAAGTCCTCAAGAGCAAGAGAATAATTGTAATGAACTTGAGGATAGAACAAAGGGCCGCAAACCTCTGCTGGATGCATTCCAGCTTGTTGGCATCAGTTGACATAATCTAATTCCAGACTACATCTTCCAAGTACAGTTCTCACATCTAGCGATATTTGGTCAGTATATAGTACATTCCTTACTCACTCTGTCAAGCAGTAGACATTCCCCAAGACATATCTGTCTCTTCCTGGCTTAGAGACAGCAGAGTCAATAATTTTAGACTGTCCCTTAATTTTAATTCCTGTCATCTGTCAGTTTCGCTCAGTCATTTTCGGAATAGTGCAATAACGGACCGAGTTCAATAATCTCACCAAGGTTAAAAAAAAAAAAAACTAGAATTGTTCGCATGAAGTAAGAGTTGTGATAGTTCCGCTCGCTTTATCTGTAAAACAACAAACTTACAGAGAAGTATATAGGTCATAAAACTCGAGTTTCGTGTTCTACCACTTCTCTTCAACAATTATTTTCTCTGATAAATATCTAGGTCGTTATGTTAGAAGTGTTTTCAGAAACGCATGCAGGTTTTCACATGAAGTTTTGTTCAATTTTAACCAAAATTGCAAAGTTTCGACACATATCAATGAACATCCTCATTATCAAATTTGGTGAAAATGAATTCCACTGTTCTCTTGTTTTGTTACGTGTGGTCAGGTGGGCGGATAAGGTGGAGCTTGGGTCTGGAGATCTGTTCAATTGTTTCAAATAACCACACCTCAAAAGTGTGTCTCGTCATTTTCAGCCAATCATGGATAGACCTAAATTAGTTCTAATCTAATGTCAAATTTTTACTCGGCAGTATTTCGGTTCAAAGAAGAACTGATGTCAGATCAGAATATGGGCCAACAGACCTGAAAGATATCAATAAGCAATTTGAAGCAATAAATGAGTGGCTCTGGAAAGCAAGACAGTTCTAAAGGGAGGTATAGTTTCAGGATGGACATGGATGTGGAGGCCACCCTAATGGGACATCTTTGTAAACGGCATATATAGTTACTAAATATTTGTGACAAAGAAGTTTTGTGATAACAGTCATCGCCTTACAAAATTTCATTTTGGATGGGCTCAAAGTAACTTCACACCATGGATATGAATTCACCCTTGATTAGTCTTAACAAGATTTGATTTCCTCATAGATATACAAAAAATGAAAACAAACGTCTCATGTACCTCTACATCTGTTCCATTTCATCACTCTTTGTCATAAACAACGGTTTTGTATAACTTTCGTACAGTTCTTTTTACCTGTTAAAGACAGACGCTACTTTTTTTTAATATCCATTCCATTTAATCAAATGTCACAGTATAATTACCAAGGTGTAGGTGGGTGGACAATATTAGAATGGATCTTAGAGAGATAGGATGGGATGGTATGGATTGGATAGATCTGGCTCAGGATAGGGACCAGTGGAGGGCTCTTGTGAACACGGTGATGAAACTTCGGGTTCCATAAAATGCTGGGAAATTTTTGAGTACCTGCAGAATTGGCGGCTCCTCCAGAAGGGCTCAGCTCCATGAGTAAGTAAGTAAGTAAGTAAGTCACAGTATAATTACTAGTGACCTAGTTTTGTGTTCATAATTCCCTGGTACTACTTTTAGTTCAGTGACATTCTCACCTGAGGTTTCTTGTGGTCTCTCTGAAAGTAGTGGGGGAACATGACATTTTCAAAAGTTCTATCCAAATCCCGAGGCAGGGGGAGGTCATGGAAATCCAGTGCACAAACCCTCCAAGAAAACTATGCAAATCTGAGCTAAAAGTAATATATTTAATAATAAGAGAAAAGGGGAATGTAAAATAGCACGAAAATAGAAACTATAAAAATGGTTAAGAACTATTCGGCTTCGCATTTTCTTATTGCACCTTGTATTTGTGTGGCAACAATGAAGTTTTTTTCCTCGGTTAAAATATCCGTTACTTTTATTGTATTTATCTACTTGTGGTTTTTGTTTGAGTATATTTAGTATAAAAGTGGCATATACCAAATGAAATGTGTAGATTGCCCATTGAAATACATTGGGCAAACAGGTAGAACATTTAACACTAGATATAAAGAACATATACATGATATTAGAAATAATGATAGCAATTCCGGGTACTCAAATCACATACTAAATATAGGACATGCATACGGAACAATAACAGAGGTAATGGAAGTTGTAACAACCAGAAAGAAAGACAGACATTTGAATACATTAGAGAAATACCATATATATAAAATAAGTAAGAAAAGCCTACACATGAATGATACAGACATAGAAACACACAATCCCATATTTCAAATGATACACGAAATCTACACAGACTAACGGTACCTCTCTCTCCACACTACCCATTCCCCCCTACACTCACCAACATAAAACACAGCACACAATACATCAGACAGCACACATAGTAAAGACAAGCAGTGGCACGCACACAGGAAGACTACACAGAGTAAGTACAAATAACAATATAAACACATAAAAAAATATTACGTACATAAAATAATAATACGAATATTTGTATATTACAGATAACACCTGTACAGTGTGGAAACAAGAACTAGCTGCTGCAGCACTTTAGACATAGGGCGAGTAACCCTAACAATTTTAAATTTTAAATTTAAAATTTAGAGAAAATTTTAAAGGATTTTAAAATTATAACTAAAGATTTTATAGTGCTACTGCAGGAAAATCAAAATTGACGTGTGCAAAATAACCTACATACCAGACAGATATCAACGAGGTAGATGTTGATAATAACGAAGAAAGTAACAATGTGTTTTTTAAATGTTAAATTTTAGACTGGGTTCAGTGTGGCAGCAACGTAAGAGTATACACCTGACGATGGCCGTTAGAGGCCGAAACATGTAGTGTAGAAGAGAGCAAGATCAAAGACATATAATATATATTGTTTGCACTTGGGACGGAGTTTGTGTCATTTGTCGTTTAAAATTTCCATTTTCTAGAAGTGAAATAAATTTAATGTGAGAATTTCAGAGAATCTATTGGTCAGTTGTTATCCAGTAGTGTTGGTCTTGAAGATCATCATGCTATTATTGAGCAGAAATACGCGTTTCGGCATACTGATCTTGCTTGTTTGCTTCCATTGGCTGCATGTTCTGCAACTACCAAGCAACCAAGATGTGATAGCATTTCCAACATGTATAACGATTTCCTATTTGGCTCAGATAGTGAGCTTGATGCAGCTAGAAATGCCTTGTGCTCTCTCCTCCCCTCAGTCCAACGCCATATCGTATCTTTACTTGTGCCCAAAAACGGCCAATGTAAGCCATAGAGAAGTGGCTAACAAGTCTATGATTAGATGGGTGGTGGTGTCTGATGATGTATTATCTGATCTTTTCACCTACTATTATGCGGAGTACCACTGAACTATGTAGGTAACACTTTTACTTCACTTTTCAAATTGTTAGCCAGGCTAGGATGGTTAATAAGTACAATCCATCGGTGCCTTAAAGTAGACCACAACCACTTCTATCCACATCTTTTGTACTTTAGCATTTAGTGTAGATTTCCAGTTTTGTGTTTCATAGAATCATGGGTGAATTTGTAGATATGATATATGGAGATAACAGTAGAGAGTCACTACATCTCCATGGTATATACTTTGTTGCAAAAATTTACAAAATTCATTGAATATAGTCAGTCTCAGAATTAAAGCCTTTGGAACTGGAGGACAGTGCCATATTACTGAATTAAATTTTAACTAGGAGATAAAAATTCATAACAAAAGTGTCCGCTTTCTAAGAGAGTCTTGGTTTTCTTTTCAGGTGTTGATGAAGATATATGTTGTATATGAGTATTTATTTTATCTGACCTAGAACTGTCAAAAGGGTTTGGTAAACTCAGGACAACATGGGGACCAATAATAACAATGAAGCTGGAGGCAATGGGGAAAGCATGGATGCCAGTGTTTCTGACACTCCAATCCAAAACTTTTTCAATGGAAGCTGTGTTCTTGTAACTGGTGCAACAGGTTTTGTGGGGAAGGCTCTCGTGGAGAAATTGCTCCGCTCTTGCCTAGGTCTCAGAACCATCTACGTACTCATCCGTCCCAAAAGAGGGCTTAATGTCCAAACAAGACATACAGAATTGTTAAAGAATCCCGTGAGTATGATTTTCTCTTTCTGTCACTGTTTGTACTGATAGTTGGAAAATTGATGAACAGCCTCCAAATGTCCTCCATCCCTTAGTTTTATACAGTTCACCTCAGCCCACACTTCCCTCTTACCAGTCACTTGGATCTTGACCTGGGTCCTCTGGTCCACTGAAATAACTTGTAATTCCAGAATTTCTTTCTCTAACTAATCCCACATGTAATATATTTTTGAATAATTAATAAACTGGCCAAGAAATTCCTTGATTTTACGGCATGTATAAGTTCTTTACAGTTTATAGAGAAGACCAACAATGGGACTGGAATCTATCCTAATTCAATTGAATGCAGACTCCATAACCATGTCCACTTTTTGTTTCAACAATTTTAATACCACCCAACCTTCTATATTTATGTTTCTAGATTAATGTAATCTTTGACATGTTCATTGCTACAATGGGACTGGATTGTGTCCTGATTCAATTGAATCCAGCCTCCATAACCATGCCTACTTTTTGTTTCATCAATTTTAATACCACCCTTACTTCTATATTTATGTTTCTAGATTAATGTTATCTCTGAAACACTAATTGCTTTCTTTAATGTTATTTATGAATTGTATTTGATTTACTACAGACATATTTTCTGACTAATAATGCATACATTTTGAAACATTACCAGACCAAACAATTGATCCTGTAAAGAAACAATTTTTATACACATCCATAAAACGCATTCCAGAATTCCAAGCAGATGTTCTGTGTAATTTACTTTCACAGCATGGTTTTCTTTTATTGCTAGTGGGGTGGGACTAAGTCCCTTGTACTGGGGCCACTTCTGGCCTATTGTACCAGCCCCAGATGATAGGTGAGGGTGATTGTGGAGCAATTGGATGAAGATTGACAGGGGAAACCGAAGTACTCGGAGAAAACCTGCCCAAGCGCCACTTTGTCCACCACAAATCACACTTGATTAGACCCGGGATCGAAACTGGGCCGCCACGATGGGAAGTCAGCGACTAACCGCTTGAGCTATGGCATGGCCCTCACAGCATGGTTAGTAAGTATCACTTTGCATATTGCTGAATGCAGTGAATGCTGATTTTGCAAACAGAAATTTTACAATAATAATGTTTTAAAGACTTTCTTTGGAATTGTTTGAAACTCTGTTATACTTTGGGGGAAATTTCGTCATCAATGGGCAATCCTTATGCATGTCTTGCACTCTTTTGGCTGCACTAAACTCATCATGCTGCCTTGAAATGGTTAAATGCCATTCAGTATCAAATTCATCTTCAGAGCCTTTGTACCACCTTCATATTTTCAGCTTTCTAGTAGCACTTAGGAATCCACTTTCACTGTTCAAACATCAGATGAATTGTTAACATTTTGCTTAAAATGAAAAAAAAAAACAAAAAAACAATGGCAGTAACAATACTAAAACTTACGCCATCAAGAAGCATTATTATCGCATGTAATCACTGTTACATGTAATGTCACCACTTGTACAGGTCTACATGTCTCATGACTATCCAAACAGTTGTGCCTACACATTTTTTGGGACTCTCTATATTAGACATCTTTATAACTGGTAATCATAAATGTAACAAATTGCAAATCAAATGTCATAGGTCTAGAAAGTGAAACTCTCCGAGGAAGGAAGAGATGATAAAAGAGTTTATATTCTCTATACATAAAGGAACACTGCTTATAATATAAGAATTATTTTGGAACACCAATTAAGATATTGAAAGACAAAAAACTGACTCAGAGAAAGTGGCTGTGGTACTACTCGCATGAATATGATGTAACTGATTCTGGTTAGAGTCCAATAACAGATTTTCTTGTTTCACCTTCAGGTTCCCCTGTTAAGTACTTAGTTAACCAGTTGGTTTGTTATTATTTACTTAGTCAAATAAATTCCCACTTGGAATGAACCTAAAAATGCATGATATTTGTTGTAACATGTTACAGGTGTTTGACCGAATAAGAACAGAATCTCCTGCCTTGTTCAGCAAGATAGTTAGTTTGCAGGGTGATGTGTCAGAAACAGACCTTGGACTCAATGAGGAAGACAGACGCCGCGTAGTAACTGAAGTTAACATTGTGTTCCACGCAGCTGCTACAGTCAGATTTAATGAGAGTCTTAAATCTGCTGTGATACTAAATACCCTTGGAACTCAAAGGGCTATTCAGTTGTGCAGAAACATTCACAACCTTCAGGTAATGTTCAATTGTTCAGTCCAGATAATCTGCTAAGTCAGAAGCATTGAAGTGTATTGATCAGGTCTGGCATTCATTACATTTAATTTGGCTAATGCATGTATTTGTAAAATCTAATTTGCTTAATGTACATGACACAGTAAAACGACTGATAAGTGATTCTTTATGTTTACTAATGGCTACATACTTTTATTGATCTGCTGGCTTAAACTAGTAAAATATGACCTCTTCTCTAGCCATACAAAATTACACGTAAAACTGACACAATCTTTAGCAAATCATAAATAAGAATAAATATATATACGCCTGTAAACTACTACCTTAGTAAACTCTTCTGCAAGTTTTCTATTTATTTATTAATTACTATATACATTCACATATTTATCAACAAAATAAAGTAGAAATGCATACAACTGAGCCGTTAGTACCTGATTGTAGCCCTTTTGAGGTTGAAATTGTTACTGTAAATTTGAAAAGGTATGAATCACCAGGTAGTGATCAAATTCCAGCAGAACTGATTCAAGAAGTAGGTGAAATATTATATATCCAAAAGTTAATTTCTGGAATAAGAAAAAATTACCTGATATGTGGAAGTAGCCTATTATTGCTCAAGTTCACAAGAAGGGAGATAAAACTGACTGTAGTAATTATTGCAGGATATCACTGCTATCAACTTCATACAAAATGTTATACAATATTCATCTCTCAAGGTTAAGCCCATACATAAATGAAATTATTGGGGATCATCAGTGTGGGTTTCAATGTATCAGATCAATTACTGATAAAATCTTTTGCATTCGTCACATACAGGGAAAAAATGGGAGTACAATGAAACAGTGCATCAGCTATTTGTATACTTCAAGAAAGCCTGTGATTCAGTTAGGAGGGAAGTATTGTACAATTTTCTGATAGAGTTTGGGGTACCAATGAACCTAGTTAGGCTGATTAAAATGTGCTTAAACAAAACGTACAGTAAAGTCCATATAGGTAAACATTTGTCTGACAATTTTCCTATCCAGAATAGTTTACAACAAGGAGATACTTTGTCGCCATTGTCTTTCAACTTTGCTATAGGATACGCCATTAGGAAGGTCCAGGAAAACCAGGCGGGACTGTAATTAAATGGGACACATCAGCTGTTGGTCTATGCTGATGATGTGAATCTTCTGGGTGATAATATATACATATATACCATAAAGAAAAACACACAAACTTTAATTGACATGGGTAAGGAGGTTGGTCAAGAAGTAAACACATAGAAAACTTAATATATGTTACTGTCTCATCACCAAAATGCAGGGCAAAATCATGACATAAAGATAGGAAACAGATGTTTTGAAAATGTGGCACAGTTCAGATATTTGGGAACAATGACAGGGCTGACACCCTTGCTACCATCTATGAGCCTACTGTCTAGAAAACGTGGGAACCTCAACATCTCACAACCCTATGGGCCTCCACGGCCTGTTACAGGGATACCTTTACTTTACTTACATTTTACTTATGACAGCAAATCAAAAACTGATTCAGGAGGAAATTAAGAGGAGATAGAACTCTGGAGATGCTTGCTACCATTCAGTCCAGAACCTTTTGTCTTCTCATCTGCTGTCCAAAAACATAACAATTACACTATACAAAACTATAATTTTGCCTGTGATTCTGTATGGGTGTGAAACTTGATCTCTGATATTAAGGGAGGAACATAGAATGGTGCTGTTTGAGAACTGGGTGTGAGGAGAATATTTAGACTGACGATAGATGACGTGACAGGAAGTTGGAGAAAGCTGCATAATGAGGAGCTTCATAACTTGTGTTCTTCATCCAAGTATAATTAGAATGATCAAGTCAAGGAGAATGAGGTGGGCATGGCATGTAGCACGAATGGGGGAGATGAGGAATGCATGTAGGATATTGGTTTGGAAAGGAAGAAGGAAAGAGACCACTGGGAAGACCAAGGTGTAGGTGAGTGGACAATATTAAACTGGATCTTAGATAGATACGTGTACTAAAATGGGATGGATTGCTCTGGCTGAGGATAGGGACCAGTGGAGGGCTCTTCTGAATACAGTAATAAAACTTCACATTCCATAAAATTCTGGGAATTTCTTGAGTAGCTGCAGAATTGGCGGCTCCTCAAGAAGGGCTCAGCTCCATGAGTGAGTAAGTGAGTGATGGATCCAACAAGAAATGGCATCTACTGAGCTATTGTAGATAGTCGTAATCTCTATAACTTCTCTTAACAATCGTCCTCCCTACAATGGTTTCTGTAAACCAGAACATGTATTGAACTAGGGATAGAAATATACCTAGAAACTCTGTCAAATTCACAAAAACAGATGCAACCTATAAAAATACTGCTGCTGCATGATTACTCTGTATCTCTTTCCTACATTGCAACATTTACCACCACATGCTTGAGAATTACATGCAATTACTGGAAAAATGACAAAATGTTACATTTTTATCACATGCCTTTGTAAATTTATTTAATTTCATACCCTTATAGCAATTTGCCAGATTATTCAGTTTTATCATAACTTATATACTAAACGATGTGCTTCAGAAAAGAAATGTTACAGGAGTAGACAATCAAATTATAGTGATGTTGAACTGTTTATAAAATATGTAATAAATCTTTTTCTTTCAGGCGTTTGTTCATGTGTCAACAGCATACTCAAATGCAGACAAAAGTGAGGTCATGGAAATTGTGTATCCTCCACCAGCAGACCCTGAATGTGTTATACAGTGCTGCAGAACTCTGAGCGATGATGCATTGAATATTATGGCTCAGCAACTTCAAGGAAAACATCCTAATACATACACTCTATCAAAGGCAATGGCAGAGTGGGTAGTTGCAGAACAAGCACATGATATACCAGCAGCTATTGTCAGACCATCAATAGGTATGAGGGAACAAGAGTTTCCAGTTTCTTTCATTAGAATCTAAAGGTTTTTAAGGCCACTAACACAGATATTCGATGTTGAAATTTAACATAAGCAAATCCAGTTCACTTGTATTTAACTCTAGTTCCTTAACATCAATGTAATATTACTCTTACATTCAACCCTCTCATTTATAAATAGTTACTTAACAAGAAGCTTCTGCATCAAAGACTGGTATTGTGATAGAGCCAGTAGCATTACTGCATAAGTTTTTGGAATCCCTAGTTTGATTCTTGGCTCAGATGCAATTATCCTGATTGTTTCTATGTTTTTCATCAGTCCCTTAATACATACCACAACTACTTTTTCCCACATCACGTCCAACTCGTTGCTTATGAGCATACTCCAGTTCAGCATGCATATCCTCTGCAGCTGATGAAATATCATTATATAATGTAACAAACAAATCTGCAAGAAAATTCTGTATTCATTTTTTGTTTCTTTCATTTAGGCTATATGTCCAATCTGTTAATCCCAAACAATATGAGCTGAATTATATAAATCACAAATATCTTTGTCATGTAAACTGCTTTTATTCAAAACTGCAGTTCAAATATGCAAACTAAAACGTTTCAAAAAGTATTTCTCATTTCCTATGCATAACAGATATATTGAGGATTCTTTACATGCAATTATTTTTTTAATTATTGTAGTATTTTTCTCAATGGAAATCAGACTTTAAATTGCATAAAAATACATTACTCTGGCAGCTAACATAGTTTAGCAGATCTGCGCTACTAATATATATGTAATGTTCAGTTACAGCATCATGGCGTGAACCAGTGCCAGGTTGGGTGGACAATACTTGTGGCATCACCGGTATCATGATGGAGGTCTCACGTGGTACCATTCGGAGCATTATATGTGATCAGGGCTTGAATATGGATCTGATCCCTGTAGATCTTGTAGTAAATACATTAATTGGAGTTGCCTGGCATACAGCTACTTACAGGTACATTGTGAATAATATTGCAACTTATTTAGGCAGATCCATCTGCTTGTCAACAATTATATATCCTGCAGTTCATAACTACATTGTATTTCAAAGTTCCTTGATTTAATTACAGGCACACAGTTCTGAGTGTATTACACATTCTTTAGTCATTTTGAAAACTGAGAAAGCATATTCTTGGAGATCAATAATTACTGAGGAATAGCACCATTATCAAATACATAGAAATTTTGATCGAACATTATTCTCACAAGGTTAATATAGACAAAATTATTGGCCATCATCAGTGTGGATTTCAACATAACAGATCAACTAATAACCAAATGTTCATTATTCATCAGATGTGGGGGAAAAGGGGGAGGAAAATGGGAGAGTACTTAGCTATTTATGTACTTAAAGAAAGCCTGTGTCTTTCTCAGAATTACTGTACAATAATTTCACTGACTCAGATACACCCATGGAACTAGTTAGACTAATTAAGAATTCAGAACAACCATTTTGGTTGAATACTGTTATTTGTAAATATATAAAGAAATCATTATGAGAGCTATCTTTGACCCTTACACTTATCAATACATAAATAAGTAGCAAAGAGCCAACCAGTGTAAGTAGTTTACTTGCACCTATTTAACTAATTATACTGGATTTCTACTACTTATATATACATTAAACATTATTCACAGTAGTAGCACACTCCAGTCTTGTACATGGAAATATATATTATGAAGCCTTGTGGTTCTCTTGCACAGCACATTCCTGAGCAGTCAACTACTCAAGAAATCAGTGTTGTTTTGGGACCATAACGTTTGCCTTAATCTCCCCAAAAGCCACAATCTGTTCCCATGTTGAACTAATCTTACATATTTCATATCCCCACCAACTTGTTTATGTAAGACAGTGGAAGCTTTTACTCCATAATTAACATAAAATAAAGTAGTCAGTTTTATTTTACACATTCACAGTAGAGTGGCTGAATGGATGGTGGCACATCAACAGGTCAAACAATTGACACATAATTACCCCCAGAAGGTTGATACACATTTTACACCCATGAGTGCAAATATATGAAATTAGTTTGTACTGAGAAACAACTCATGTTTTGTCTATAAATATGTTGGGAAAAAATTTATAGTTATTTCTCTGCCAGATGGACTCAATTCTTATAAAGCACAACAACAAATACACTAAGTGTGATGCAGAAAAATATGTTACATGTTAAATGTTTTCTATCACATTTATTACAGACAGCATGAACTTGATTTCATTTTGGTTAGAAGAATGTTTCCTTCTGTTTAGATCAAATGCAGTCCGTGTATACAATTGCACTTCTGGATCAGTGAATCCCATAAGCTGGAGAGAGTTTGGCGTTTTGACACACCGTCATGCTTGTGATACACCAACACAATATGTCATGTGGTATCCTGGCTTCACTTTCCGTACCAACTACTTCATCCACAAAATCTGTGAGTTGTTCTTCCACTTCTTGCCAGCATTTTTGACTGACCTTCTTCTCAGACTGCAGGGAGCTAAACCAATGTAAGTTTATTTTTTTAATGCTTAATACACAGTGGGCATGATATGGTTTGAAATTTATCAGAGATTTATTTGTCTCTCTCTCTGTCTGTCTATCTGTCCATCAGTCCATATGTACATTCTTCCATCTGTCTAACCATCCATCCGTCTAACTATGTATCAACGTACATGCATAACAAAGAAAATGGTTTACGACTGACTGTTCTTGCAGTCCTCATGGAGGGTGAATGCATTTGAAGGGGCTGGAAAATGCTCTTTTCAATACGATTGTTTCCTCATGATCCTAATATTTTTGGGGCTCTCAAAAAAGTATTTAAGAGATTGTGATTCTAATTGGGCACTGAAATATAGCAGGATGTGCTTCATTGATTTTAGCAGTAGAATACAGGATTCTTTGAAAAATATATCCAGTACTTTTTATATTAATGGTATGCATGTTCTAATGGTTATGGGCATGTTGCGTGACTGGACCAAATTTATCTCAAATAAGAATAAATGTGCAGATTTACACTGACTGTCCTCTATACACAGTGGAAGGGAAGGAGATATAGATTTGATTTCCACAGAATATTACAGAAATTCTCAATGATGAAAATAATTTTATCTTCGCATGTGTGTGTGTGTGTGTGTGTTTTATGAACCAGTAGCATGTATNGGGGTGTCACCTGAAAGCTTTTGTGCATCCTCCTTCCTCTTATTGATTCTAAAGGGAAAATCCAATTATCTGGTCCACGTCTAGCAAAATCACAGGACCTTTCTAGAAATACTATGGCCATAAAAGAATGGCTGCTTGCCTGAAAATTAGTTCGGTCTTTGTGAGAGCGGTCAGCTAGTGCTGACATGTGTCAAAGTACACTTGGGATAGTACATGCTGTGATAAACAGTGGTGGTGTAGACAAACCAACACCAAGTGGCTACTAGTAGTTAGATGATAGCAATTACAATTGGTTTCAGAAGTCAGGATCAAAGATGGATCCAGCATTTCAAGTGATTTTGAAGCAGTTAAGTAAGATGAGCAACATCAAGAACGGCCAGCAGCCGGCCATGAAGAACTGAAAAAGGACAAAATCCGTGGCCAGAACTGACTGGCGGCCTGCCAAAAAGAAGTAGATGCAACGTTGAGTCTAATCGATGCAATCTGGAAGCCACATGGTGGAACTTTGAGAGGCTGTGGGCAGCAGTAGAGCCCGCTCGAGACCCTGAGTTGGTAATAACGCAGCAACCAGCACCCTCATGACAAATCCACAGAAGTTTGACAGATTCACGTTCTGGTAGGCATTTCACTGCCAATTTGAGGCCATAGTTAATCGGAACGTTTGGGCAGTCTGCAAGAAGGTCACATATTTATTTATCATTATGCAGGGACAAGCTACCGACATCTTAGAGCGTGTCCCACCTGGAGCGACATAAGACAATAGCATTGGGGCGCTAGAATAGTTACGGAAACCACCAGCTGGAGGAGGCCAGGACTCAGTTGAGCGATGAATTGCTACAAGAATCGGCAGCGGCCAGTGAGCAGTTGGCCCACTTGGTGCATATAAGTTTGCCCAAGGGCTTCATCCAAAGAGAAGCAGCGTACACTTTCGTAGATAGAGTGAAGAACTGTGAAGTAAAAATCATCTCTCCATGAACGGCGAGAGTTCTCTCAAGACCCTGATCAGGCCCTGAAACTTGAGGGTGCAAGAGAGTCTAGGGAGACCGTCTCTGTGTTGAAGAAGACGCTGGTGAAGTTGACTCTGTGAAGAACAATACACCTCTGGTTTTTTATCTCCATAATCACAGACGATATTATCTTTGAACCTGATATTCTGAGGCCTATGATACGGCGGTGCTATGAATGCGCGAAGAAAAGACGTCGTTATGGCATCCTGGAACCTGATCCCAATACCACATTGGTGTCAGACAGTCATAACTCTGCTGCTGGAGGGACCCAAGAGGCGGTGAATAGAGAAGTGTGACCAAGTTCCAAAGCTACCCACCGAAGAGTGAATAGGGCCAGAATTCAGGGACAACAGCAAAGAGACACACACGTCAGGAAAACAGAATGTTGCTAGGGGCAGATAAAGTAAGTTTAGATGGCTCTTCTAGATGACACTTCCACAAGGCCCGTTCTCACTGACAGAAAGTCGAACGGCAATATGGGATCCGGAAGGTGTAACTTATCACTGTTTCTTCCATGGATAGCTTAGACCATGCCACCCTGAGGGCGTAACTAGATGACAATGACGTGGGACCAATTTTACGGGAACTAGGGGCTGGGGAGCATCCCAGGTGGAAGGAAATCTTTATTTCTGTCTCATCCACAAGAATTGTTGGCTCCATACAACTAACTGGTGCTGAGAGGCGGTGTGTTGGAGTGAAACTGGGAGTCAGTTGAGGCACTGTTCAAGACAGCCCAAAAAGTTCTACTCCAAAGAAAGTGAAGGCAATACTTGGTGGGCTCTATGACAGATCTTCAGAAGGTTATCTGGGTGCCAACAAAACTCTGAATAATATTAAGCAGCGATAATACTAGTTATGTACGAGGATTGACATCGAGGGGTGATGGAAAAAGAGTGACATTTGCGTATCACGCTGAGGCCCCCGAATCTGTTGTCTGATGGATCCACCTAATGGCAGTGCATCATTGGAAAAGACTGTTAGTAACAGGGTAAAGACCCATCGCTACCGACTAGCCATCTCTGCGGCATTCCAAGAAGGAGACCGAGCTCAGTTGTACACCCTGACACTCACCAGTGGGGAAGTCGCCTAAGCTGCAGCCATCCTGAGCAGACCCTTGCAGGGTGACTACCCAGATCCATGATCCAGCTTCAGTAAATTAATCAATCAATCAATCTCTTTGTTCTGAGAATCCATATTTGGAGATACAACCTCCAGATATAGAGCAAGTCAATTACTACATATTAATATAACACACATCTCATACATGAGTCAACAATACTATGAAATTTAATTACCTACAGATTTCATACACATCAATCATACAATACATCATATCACTTTCAACAATTCAATACCAAAAAACCCAACATCCAACATTTTCTATTATAGATTAAGCGAGGACAAGATATTTGTCATAACATAAAACCATAACACACTCACTTCAGAATTTAAGGGACATAAATTCATCAGTGGAATAAATGGAATGTTTCAACAGAAAAGCGAAGATTATGGTGGTCTGCCTGTGTATAATCTCCTCATACTGAGCTGCTACTTGAAAACTGAGCAGTGCCATGTTAACTAATTGATGGACTGGGAATTCGGGTCATGTGCCAGCATGCGAGTGCCTCTCTTTCATTGAACGTTCAAGAAGTTCCCTTCTTGTCGACTCTTCGAGAAATGTCAAGCATCTGGTCCACTTGCAAAAGCACAGGACTACTCGAGAAATACTATGGGCATAAAACAGTGGCAGTTAGCCTGAAATAAAACAATGTTTATTTCTACCTTAGTGAGCATGGGGGGTTAGTGTGGGTGTGCTTCAATGGAGACATGTGATAGTGCATGCTGTGAGTTGCAAAGAGTTCAGTGACATGCAAAAGAAGGGGATGGTGTAGGGAAACAGTGGAGGACTAGACAAATTGACATCAAGATCTTAAGTAACTACTAGTAGTGAGATAATAACTTTTCCAAGACATAATAAACGTTACAGTACAAATCTTCAAATATTCGAGACAATAAATTCAGATTACAATAAGTACGAAATATCATATTACAGACTCATAATTTGAAAATAGGAAACAGTGGTTTAACCCTAATTCTTCACCTGTTCTGCCCATTGATTTATTCGATATTTTTGCGCCATAATGATTATAATGAAATGTTATTAAAATTATTTTCTTTTGTTGTCATAAAACAGCGAGTAATAACAGGATTTCTTTAATGTTTGCAAAATCGAATGTTCATGCTTTTTTGTTTGTTTGTTACATAAGTAAAGCCCTGGAGGAGAAAACCAAAGTAGACAACATCTCTTTTGTTTATGTCAAATTGATTAACAACCAACTGTTGAGGCAGGTGAAGAGTACTATATAACAAGAAAATATACAATTTTTGTAAATATTCACCTATTTATCAATGAACTGCTGAGAAAGGTGAAAAACTGTTTAGTGTTCCCCTAATATAAAAACCATCTGCCTAGGCAGATGTTGTCAAGTAACATGGATCTACATAATGTGTGTAAATATTCATCTAGTACTTAATAATTCACTGCCTAGGTAGGTGAACAATATCAGGTAACAAGAAACGAAAGAGTATGCAAACATTTTTACCGCCTTAAATTCAACTGCTGAGGCAGATAATGGATGTCATACAAGACTCTCTATGATCTAAGTAAACATTCATCTCTCTAAGCAGCTACTAAAGCATGTGACGTGAGATATGGGGGAAACTGCATTAATGCCACTACTGTTATGTTCTGAGCACTGACACGATTTTCATATTTTCAGAATGTTCAAGATTGCCAAAAGATTTCAGCTGGCAGCCAAGACTGGCGAGTTTTTTGCCCTTCATGAATGGAAATTTCATCGTGAGAATGTGTGTATGCTAATGCGTGATGCACAAGATAAAGCAACATTTGATTTTGATGTCTCACAAATTAATTGGGACCAGTACGTCAAACACTACATGCTTGGGATTCGCAGACATGTACTGAAAGATTCCAATGACACAATACCCAGTGCCAGAAAGAAACTGCAAAAGTGAGTACAAAAAACACATTCTTATTGTTTTGTACAGGGCATATTCCACAACTCAGATTTTCCTTCATATGTCATTGTCAGTCTACTCAATGAGTAAACCCTGCTTCTTGATGTTATAGTCCATAAGACAATTCCACAAAATGTCTTTAATTTATACTGCTCCTATGTTAATTCTTTTGAATTATCCCAAAAAGCGGGAAGTGATTTTTCACTGTACTTAACTGATATAACCTTAGACCAACAAGCTGGGATAGTGCACTCGGTACAGCAACTGGCTATGGACTGGACGAACAAGGGGTCAGAGTTCAAGTCCCTGTAGGGTCAAGAATTTTCTAATCTCCACATCATACACACCGGCTCCAGGGCCCACCCAACCTATATAATGGGTACCAGGGGTTCTTTCCTCTGGGGCAAAGCGGCTGGGGCGTGAAGCTGACCACTCACGTCCAACTAACGCTGAGGTCAATAAAATGTGGATCTATACATTCATATACATTCACTCCCCCCTACACCTTCATGTCATAGTGGTTAATAAATTAAGCTCAGGAACAACTATAACTTACCTTACCAAACTGATATACAACTAAAACACCACAACATTTGAAATATTGGCTGAAAAATGAACAGAGTTTAGGAAATTTGGTAGTTTTTGTAGACATGGTAAGGATGAACAGGGTGCATGGCATTGACACATTCTTTAGATTTGAAGTAATGAGTTTATTTTCATCTTTATGCATTGATTTTATACATAGATATTCATAATACATATCTGATTAACTTAGTTGATTTGTTAAATTAATTATAAAATCTACATACCATTAGATCATATGAGGTTAGCATACACAGATTGATAACAATTTATACCCTAGTGGGAATTTTTCATGACATAACCAACAACTATTACAACTCTGATAATGTATTGTATTTTCCAGGGTCAATGCACACCCTAATTTTGAAAGTCTAAACTGTAGGAAATATATTTTTTGCATTTGGGTGTATAAAATGCATTTCAGAAATATTTTAATTCAGTTCCCTTTATGTGTGAATTTTACAAACCTTATTGAAAAATTTTGTATATGGTACTAAATAAATCATGCAGCATAATATTAATATCTGTCAACACTATTATATTTTTTACTCATCAAAACAGAATCATTTCATCAAATAATGACAATTTTGTTGGCGGCTTCCTGTAGATTACCTAAGAGAGTTGAACATATGTGAATATAATGTTACTTTTGGGTGGTATTTGAAGAAAAAGGTACAAACTAAAGTCAGTAAAGTATAGTCATGTTACAAAAACAGACAATTAATACATAAGCACTACCACCAAGTTAAAACCTCTAAGCCAGAAATAAGTACATATATACATATATATTAACAAATAACCTCATGGTGGGGTTGAGTAGTCACTCAGTTGGTCAAGAAATTACCTGAAGTTTAATTGCTGTGTTCAAAATAACTTGCATTATGACTTAAGACAATATTTATATATGAAGGTTATCTTATGGATAAAATATTAACATTTTTATAATAAAAGTTGCTAACACAGAGATATCATTAATGACATAAATTTTTTACTGTCTGGTAGCCCCTGTACATTCATAGAGGATAAACTTCTGAATTTAAATTTTTATCTTTTCTGTGCAGACTGTATTGGATTCACCGCTTCACACAGTTCCTGACAATATTTATCTTTCTGAAAATAGTAAGACTCAGCTGATGGATACAAATAAATCATCGCCTCCTACCATCACACATACCAAGTTGCCATATATTTATTCAGGATAACCTTTTGTGTACTCAAAATACCGCTACATCTTGACTCCTCTGGATATTAATCTAGCAGATTCTTACATGAAGTTGATAAAGAAGCTGAAATGTACAGGAAATCAGGTAAAAGTATATTTCCCAATGACATAAAAATCATTAATATATTCAATTCAATTCAATTCAATTCAATTCTGCCTTCTAATAATGACATACTTTGTTCTTGTATTTTTTCAGAGATCAATTAGTTTCAGTTTCATATTATACCAAGTGGACATCTCCCGAGAAGAACAGAATTTAGGAAATCAAGCCAAATTGTAGATACTGTAATCTTGCTTTCTCATCTGTATGGAAATAATGATTGATGAATAGATATGGATAAACACTGGGTGTCTGGGAAGGGCCCAAAAAAATCTGCACATGGAAAGATATTTATTATACAGAAGAAGTGATATAACAATTCAGTAAAACAGAACTGTAATGAAATTTTGAGTTTTCTTTTGTCACCTACTAAGTTCCTATGTGAGCATCATTAGTTGCTGGACACACACTGAAAAGTTATTCAATCTTGTACCCCGTGTTCACAAACATAGCTTAAGCCAATGATTTAATTACCTCTGTTGTGCAAAGTTGCTGATTTCAAGCATCAGCGATCTTCTCCTGTAGACTATATTTTTGACATAGCCCAGAGGATAGTTAAATGGTATTAGGTCTGATGATCTCACGGGGCATGAGCAGAAACCGCCTCTTCAAATCCCCTTGGACGGAAAGCATTTACAATAAAAACTGATGGAGAATATTTCCAAAATGTGGCGGCACCAATTCTCCTGTGTTGTACTTTCCTAACACGTTTGGAAATGGATGACTTTCCACAGTCACTTGCTGAAAGAGACAAAAGTCCAATCATGCCACACCACATGTTAAGTTTTGGCGTGTCTCTCTGATATTTGATACTTTCATGAGGTGGCTGACTAATCAATTTCTACAGATATCCCTGTTCACAGTACCTTTAAAATGGAGTGTTGTTTCATCAGAAAAACACAGAGTCCAGGATAATCCCATTATTTTCAAATTTCTGCAGCATTTCTTCACAAAAGTATCTTTCTACAGCCCCAATCGGTTAGTTTGTTGTGCTGTTGAAACTTCAATTTATGAACACATGAAAGTAAAGATTTATGCGCAATGTCATGAACTGAGGAATATGCACTTCTTTTATTGGTATGCTAATCGACGTGTGTGGGCCACGCAGGAACATTGTCTAATGTGCTCATATTCGATGGATGTCCTTCGATATCCTGGAAATTTCTGATTTTCAACATTTTCAGATTCTTGAGAGATCTATCCTACTCCTTCATGGAATTTTGGCTTGGTGCTGAACCTCCACATACAAATGGAAACTTCATTGAAAATGTGTAGTATATTTCAAATCTGCATACCACAAAACATGACCCGTCTTTTTCTAAATTGTGGCCATTTCTACTAGTGATTCAATGGAATGACTCATGCATGAGAATTGATACCAACATAAACCAAGCTTGGAACTTAAGCTAATGGATGGGGATTTCATTTCGCCTATATAATAAATACTCTTCCCAATACTAGTTTTAACACCTTTCTTAGACCTTCTGTATTTGAGCACTTCTCTTCCCCTTCACTCCATAGAAGAGCCATATGGCCTGCAAGAACACCAACATAAGTTGTCGATGGTTTCAGACTGCATTCATCTATTTTTCTTTCTTAAACTTCCAGCTAATTTTTGTCATTTCATTTTCCAGTCTCTTCATGGTATGTTTTATCTTCTGTTGCCTTCATAATTCTATCAGGATTCTCTGCAATCCTGACTGTTGAGCACATGCCCAGTTTACTGCACCACACACTGATACAGTCAGTCTCATAAGGTTTTATTAGTCACACTGTATTACTATTTAATACTAAGTTGTTCATAGGTGATCATGAAAAAAATTAAAATTTATAATTATGGTTCTGAATTCCTTTCCACAGTAGTGAATTTCCTATATGGTGAAATAAATAAGCTTCCAGGGAAAGCCTTGGACTAGGTAAATTGTTATAGAATCCTCTATTGAATTGTTACCACACTTATGAATATATTATTCACCAGAGAGAGAAGTGTTCACAAATTTACTCAATATACTATCCAAACTTATTGATCATAATCTTCTATGCAAAGCAACATGAAATTAAATGCTGACTGAATAGTATGATGAGCCATCACGCCGGTATGTGAACACTGACCTCCAATATTTATAGCTTAAAGTCATCAAGATTTTGTGGCTTTGTTGAACAAACATGATTCTTTACTATCCCCATTACCAAAAACTGCAAGGAGTTAGGTTGGGCAGCCAGAAAGCCACATCCATTGACACCTAATCAGTACTGAAAAGTGGGGTTGTATGTTATCTCACTGATTGTAGCCCAAATGATGAACACTCAGCAGGATATTTTTCTCAGAAAACTTCTCAAGCACTCATATGTATGACATGCCACTACTAAATGTTACATTCTCGAAAGGGAGAGGACGACAATTCCAAATTTTGCAACTTCATATCAGACATTTGTATTTGGTGAATCTTTTCCAGAATCACTGATCTTATGTAGGCTTTTGGTGCAGGTCCTGTGTCACTAATCCAATTATGAACCTTTCGTGTATCTATCAAATTGCTGGCTGATCTGAGTATCTGCAACAAAGTGATCTTGAATTATTTCCATCACCCTTGATGGCCACTGAAACCCTTTCACCAATGGCGGAATTTTTTCGTTTTTGAATACTGCACCAGTAAAATATCTTCAAAAATGCTTCTCTCTTTCAATGAATAATATTTTCTTAAAAGTGATAATTTATTGGAGAATCCTGCATTTTACAGTTTATAAGAATTTATACCCTCACAAATGCCACCCTGTATTAGTATCTCTTACTTCAATATAACTGAAAACAGCTGCTGTCAAGAACAACAAAATGTCACAAACTTTCACTTACAAGTAGCAGTATTATTTTTGGGAAAACTATGTGTCTTATATACTGAAAAATATGTACATATAGCAGTTTGTTACTTTCAAATTACTTACTATTAATAGTACATTATTACTGTGCCTAGAATTTTAGTTGTAAGGCATGCTCTTCAGTTTACTGCTAAACATATTTTTTATTGTTATTTATGCTTTCCCTATCTAACAAATTGGACCTAATATCTTAATGCAAAAGTGCTGGTATTAGGCTACTATATATCTCTCTTGATTTCCTTTCTCTCTCCTATGAGTGTATGAATGTAGGAATGAAGTGGGGATAACAATTTACAAGTAACAGGTTCAGTAAATACTATTACATTCCTCCTGTTTCACTGATAAATGCCAAATATGGAACAATCTAATCTTGGCAGAGGATTATTTTACAAGATTCTATATGAAGTTAACGAAATTGACTTTTGTGACATTCTATGTGCTGAAAAATGTGAAAAAAAAAATGTTTCTGTGCTTAATTAAGCACCACAGCATGAAATGAGGGGAATGGAGGTACCGATCCACATATTCTTAATTGTGACATCAGGTGAAGGTGAGTGATCAGTTTCATAGCCTGGCCACTTTATTCCTATGGAAAGTACATTGGTGCCTAGTCAACTGAATGTCAGGTGGCTTCCAAAGCTACTCTGGACATGACAGCAAAAAGGAAAAAAAATCTTGCCAGTGCCAGGTATCAGATCATAGTTGCCCAGCCCATAGCCTAACCACCATACTAACTGAGATGCTGTCCTGACTTTCTGCTGGAAGATGCTGAAGTGTCAACTGAAAAGTCTGAATTCTTCGATTCAATTTATACATTTTGAAACAGAATTCATGTTACATTTGTCACTGTCAGAGCAGCTAATCCATAGAACAATATGATAATCATATAATAATCCACCTATAAATATGAATAACTGGGGCAGCAAATAATTTTGAGGATTGTAATGAATGGTGAGGTGGAAAGGATTTATGTGAAAAGCAGCAGTTATGACATATTTTATATTATTTTTCATATGTTCAACTGGAACCAATGAGGGTAATTGATTATACCCTCAGTCAGGGTGGCCAATTCTTGGCCAAGATTGAAATCAACTATCTCCCACTTCACTACTGCATTGATTCTGTTTCACTGTGGGATGATTTAACTATCCAGATTAAGTGTCCAGATCAAATGCATTTGCTAGAAGCAATTTTCTATACTGAACAGATATTTATTCCTTTAACGGTAAACTGATGGGCAACTTGTCACTAAATACCTGAAGTAAATATGGTAATAATAATTCTGATTTTGTGTGCGAGTTGTTTGGACAAGTTAAAATGATGGCAAAAATAATAACAATTTCAATAAAGCGTGATTAGAAGTTTTGGAAAAATGTGAAAAACTTTCTTTTTTCTGATATTTATTATTACGTTGGGATAAACAAACATTTGTAGTTAAGTCAATATCTCTATTAGGTTCAAATATTCTCTTTAACAGTCTGTACATAAGTACTCTCACTATCTGTATTTCCAGCAGATAATGTATACATGTTATGGTCAACAACAATAATCAGGTGTTGTTTACACTGGCTGGATATTATTGACAGTTGCCATAAATCTTGGGCAATGTAATGATCCAGCCTCCTGTACCAGTGTTGATGAAAATAATAGCTTGGCCAAAATGTGCCAGTTGATGTCCAAAATTATCTACTATAACACCATGAAATAGACACTGCCCAAAATTGAAGCTGTCAAGCAACATTATCTGTGACATAGCTGATTTCAGTCTTTGACCACAACTTATACACTAAATCTATGACAAATCACATCATGAATGTACTGTGTAAATTTCAAGTCTCTTTCAACACCATACATTAATATGATTGTCCTGCTTAAAGAAGTAGATGATTCAAATCATGCATTTGATACACTATTTTAAATGAATTGTATTTTTGTGGCATGGAGACTTATGATATTTATATCCATGCAGCATTATTTTGTACTAAATATATGTATTATAAATATACGGATGTAATATTTAAATAATTAAAATTATATTCTGTGTGTTTTCATCACAGGATATAACACAAATATCATGTTTCACTTCTTCCAACTCAAGGACTGGGTGTTACAAGTTCATTCCCAACATTCAGAAGTCTTAAAATTGGTGTCTTATCCTGTCTCTCTGTCCTTCGGGCTCAAATAAGTATGGTAATTTAGTAGTAGGTAGAGGATAAAGTGCAGTATCATATTGAAATCTCAAATAGGTTCCAGCTTTGAAAAATTTGGACACTTTGATGGATATTAATAGAGCTTGAGAAACTATTAGAGAGCATATAAAAATTTCTGCCAAAGTGAGTCTAGGTTGTTATGAATTGAAGAAGCATAAGCCATGGTTCGATGAAAGATGTTCAAAATTATTAGACCAAAGGAAACGACAGATTGCAGTGGTTACTGGATCCAAGCGAAATAAATGAGGACAAATACAAAACGTGAACACAGCAGGCATTTCAGGAATAAAAATCTGAAATATCTGAAAGACAAAGTTATTGAGCTTGAAATGAACAGTAAGAATAAGAATATTAGATATCTGTATAGAAGAATAAATAACTTTAAGAGGGGTTACCATTCTAGAAGTAACTCAGTGAAGGATGAGAATGATGATCTGCTTGCAGATTTTCACAACATTTGACTTCTCTCAGTTATTGAACATACATGGGGGTCAGTGATGTTAGGAAGATACATAGAAATGTATACAGCTAAGCCATTAGCACCTGATCCTAGCCCTTTTGAGTTTGAAAATGCTAGTGCAAAGTTGAAAAGGTATAAATTGCCAGGTAGTGGTCAAATTCTGGCAGCACTAGTCCTTCATTAGCTTGGCAACATGGTGAGAAACAGAAGCACTGTTTGCCATGTAGGAGAAAAGACAGGAATTCTTAGGTTAAAAAGAACTCTTGTGAATCATAGTGAAAGTGTTTTGTTATACATAAACTTATTTGTGCTTACTAATGAATTGGTGTCATGTGATCTGTGATTTCATCCACTCAGAGTGTTTTAACTCGCATATTAAGTAACACAAACTGATCACAGTCTCACATGGATTCCTTCTATGCTTCAAAACCATCCATTATCAATCTAAACCCCACATTGTCAAACAGATCTATATCAACCATGACCAAAGATCTCATCCCTAAAGAATTATGTGGAGCACCTTTATTGAAACTGAAATTGAAAGTCCTGATCTGCATACCACATCCAGAACCACTCAATTTAGGCAGTGGAAGGAAAGAAGGAAGAAGTGAGGATTAGGAACCATAAACAACATCAAATTTGAGCTGCTTGACAACACCAGAAGAATTCTTCTATGGTAAGCTATGACTGCATTGTAAAACAGTGCTCAAAATAAAACTTTGATTGGAGGATGAGTGAAACTTTCTTCTTCAGGCTCAGTGTATCTGTTAGTCTCTTCCATTTCTCTTCTTTCTGGTACATGATTCAAGATGAGTCTCAAGAGGAGCACTATGATGTTTGTTGTACAGAATTTCTGCTACCAGAATTACAATGGACAAGAGGATACCATATGCTAAGATAACTAATGCAGGATAAAAGTCCTGGATTCCGACACTCACAAAATTTTGGCCATTGCTTTCACATCGTGGCTTTGGATAATACCATCGTGCTTCTTCTCGTCCCACCATGCCGGCTTCTTTCATCCACTGTGTGCTGGAACATGATCATTATTTTGATAGATTCAGAATGTCCAGATGTCAATTAAGGTGAGTATCAAAGCATTGTATTCAGCCCAAGTACCTAAAATAAATGGTGCAAAATATATTGAAATGTACAGGCCAAGAGAAGGGAGAAGAAATCGATTTCTGAGGGACACATGGCTTATAATATGCTACATAAAGGCTGTTGTAAATTGAGGCGGTTAAATGCCAGCTTCTCCCCATAGAGGCCCATTTCTAATTTCAAGACAATCTATGCATGATTTGTGGTGGGAAAGGGAGAGTGGGGCAGGTTTATCTCAAAGAATTTCGGTTTTTCCTTACCATTCATCATTCCACAAATGGACCTTGCTCATCTATGCCTCTCCTTTAGGTACACACTGGATCTGACAAGCCAGAATGCTATCACAGCCTCAGTGTTCTATTTTGGGCTTCACCTCTGACCCTAAAACTGGTTGGATTCAGTAAAGAAGTTGTTTCAGTTTAATGTGTGAAATTCAGTTAGAATCATTAATGGCATATTTCTTTTCTATGTTAGCTTTCATATAAAATACCCATAACTTTTAAGGTATAATTTCCAGGGTATTTTGACAGAATATGGACAGTTTTAATCACAAGTAATTATGAGAATACACTGAAAAAGCTGGTGCTAGAGGAAGTCATAGCCTGAGTGACTTCTAGCCCCACAAGGAGAATATCTGATGTTCAGAGAGAATGTAGAAAATGGTCAGTTTCACCATTTGAACCCTTCATCACTTCCATGCTGATTATACCAGTATTAAGACGGATGTGTGGGGCAGGACATATAGCACAGATTAAAGTATCAAGAAATATATAAAATGTGTGAATCGAACACCTCAGTAGAAGATACAATTGGAGGTGATTCGGGACTGGGTCTAATTACAAGTCATGATGAATTATAACAGACAACTTCTCGAGCAGATGAATAATTATCAACTAAGCAAGAAGTTTCCTGCATTTGGAATCAGTAAGTTCATAGTCTTGCAGTACTTAATCCAATTTTTCTAATGCAAATTTTATACACCATAATATGATATGGAATGATTGCCATAAATGAGTAAATACTCGAAAATATGGACTTGGAGAAAATAATGACCTATTTCAACCCATTTTCCTGGCAGTCATCAGAAACCTTAGCCACAATTGTCAGTAACTCCAAAATAAAGATCTGGAGCAACACTAATACACAAACCTGCTCAGCAGTTACCTGTGGTTAGGTAGACAGATCTGATAAAAGATTAGATTGTAAATTATTCTTTACCTTTGCCTCATATGCTCAATGTAAGGAGAGCCTTTTCTTATTGGAAAACCAACATGATTTGCTTCAAACATATTTATCTCCTTGAATCTGCATTTTTCATGTTCTTCATATGTATCACTTATAATTTTATATGCCCCAGAAAGGCCATGGAAGGCATTCAATCCTCTTCGTATTCTTTCCATTCCAACTTCTTCAGTGACAAATGCTTGATGGAAAGGTTGTGTATACAGCTTCTCCTTGAATAATTTTTCTACGGTAGGATCTGTTATTTCCTAGAAAAAGGCAGACAATATAAGAAAAAAATTATGCTTCTGAGGGCTGATTCAGCATTTGCTGTGCTTTATTTTGCCTTTGACAAACGCCCCTGTAAAAGGAAAATGGTTCCTTCTTCTGACTTCTCTTCATCTCCTCTGGTTCACTCAGAACCATGATATCTCCCATTAACTCTGCCCTTGAAAAGATACCCTTTAAAGTGCCAGTAATCTTTACAATGTTCTCATTACTTCCATTTGTTCTGGTGTTCCTCTTCCTTATGCAATGTGCACAGATAATTCCATGAGAACTTAAAATCTCACGAAGACTCTCATGATTTACTTTCTGAAAACTGAAACACAGGAAGCAAGGAACTGGGCAGGACTTGACTTACATTGGTCATTTTAATTAAATGCTTACAATGCCATAAATCAAGTATTTAGACATCAACTTCTTATTTGCAAAGGATTGGGTTCAATTCCAGGGCAGCCAATTTGAGAGTTGGGTTGACTAAGTGAGACTGAATCTTATATTTCTCCACATACTTTAGTATCCCCTGCCAGCCATCATTCCTCTGATGCTCCATACTAATCTGTCTCCATCCCTAAGCTGCAGCACATCCATGTATGACCAGCTTACATGTTACCATAACATTGATTGTTAGATGAGACTCCATCTCAGACCCAGCATGTGGCTGGACTCTCAAAAGATGGCTTAACTAACACTTCATATTTATCTCTTACCCCCTTTGAGGCTGCAATAAGCTCAGAATACCTCCATACTCAGATGAAAGAAGTGACAGTTCATTCTCATTTATCACCAACCTGAGGTTTGTTATAGGTCTAACAGGTCATCACCGTGTCACAACTTCATTCCTGACAATGAGCCTCTCTTTTTGTGCAGCACTTGGCTGAACTGAGAGCAATGAGGTTAACTGAATATGTACAGATTGTTATTCTTCAGTTCTAGAAATGCAACTAATCAACTTACATTAACAAGTTTGTCATTTATGCTTAGTTTCATTGGGCTCTGCATCAAATCTGTTAGAGTGCTGATCGCTGAACTAGTAGTTTGAATCAGTGATACAATTATTGCTGAGTATGATGTAAGCAGAAAAAGGGAAAGTAGCATCATGAAGATGAACACTATCCTTGAAGCCAGGTTCTTAGGGACGTTTTCTGAGCCTGAAGAGGAACAATGTAACATGAGCATTTATTTAGAACTTATATATGTAGATGTTCCCTGCAGAGTGATTACTGAGTTCTTTAAAAAATGCGATTTACATCAAATATAACTAACCCCCATAGCCAATATATGTATTTAATAAAGAATAATACTGTATCACACCCTTAAAAATAAATTAAGCATTCTTATAATTAATATTTTCCCAAAGGTATCCTACTGTTATCCATTCATGACAGGCCCTGTTTTTATTTGTTGCCTATTTAATGAATCTGTCAGTAACTCAGGCTGTACAGCATCAAATTATAGGATGATCAATAAATAATAAATTGAAAAGGATATGGAAGAAAGTGGCCATGGCCTAATTTAATCTCAGCATTTGGCTGAGGGACAAGGAAAACTTCAATCAGAATAGTCGATGCTCTGGCTGATATTCAAACCTGAATAAAATACAATACCACCTGAGCCAACTTGATTGGTAAACAGGCTGTAGTCATGTATCTGTAAATTTTGTATATAGTTATGTTTGTATAAATGTGCACAAACCAAAATAACCCACATAAGCATATTAGAATATAGGGACATTTATTGAGGGTTGAGGTTGCTGCATTTCCTCCACAGCTAGTTACAGCCATAGTGAGAGTGCAGAAACTTCATGTTGTGACATTTACAAACCTATATTACAGAAGGTGACAAAAATGTTCTCCATCATCTCAGATACATTCCCCATGCCTTCTAATAGATTCTGGCTCACGTGATGCAGTTGTTCTCTAGATATGTGGGATACTTGAACCTGATAATTTTTCTGAAGTCTTCTTCCATATATTGATTCATTTGATAGGCTTTATCTTTTAAATATCAATACAAAAATAAATCATACAGCGATGTCTTGAGAATGAATTGGCCATGAGCCACAACTTATAAAAATTTCACCAGATTATCTGTTCAAAAAGAGAACCATCTCTTGGTGTGTGATGCTGTATAGTCTGGTAGAAGTTTACAGATGTCCTGGAAATACATACTGTCTGCATTTTCAGGATCAAAGAATAAGCCTAGCAAGGAAGAAATTAAGTGGTAGATAATCAGTAAAGTAACAGGGTAACTTATTTAAATTACTCAAATGTCCAGACAGGTAGATTTCTTAAGTATGAAGCCACACAATCTGAAGTGGTATAATATACATCTACTTCAGTATAGTCAGTTTGAGTGGAGTAGTACAAATCATTACACTGCTTACCTTGCTGACAAACAATCCCAATGGTGTTCAACAAAGCATCACTCCACGAAATTGGGTAATCAGATGGCACTGATAATGGCCAGATACTTTTCTCAATATGCTGGACAATGTCCAACACAACAGTCAAAAATGCCACAGATAATATGTAAGTTGCCCATACTGATGTACTGAATGGTAACTCATAAATGATTGATACCTCTGATAATGATGGCTTTAGAAACATAAATGCACCCCTGGTAAAAAGAAAATAACAATTGGTGAGGCATGTATATTATCAAAACATATACCATATATATTAGAAAATATTCCTTTTATACTCATGGATCTTTCTTTAAGTTTCGCAACTTGTCACATGCATTTACTTTTTCACTTGTGATTTTGAATTTATCTATTGTCCTCATTGTCTAATTTCATTGCCATATGCAAGTGTTTAAAAAATTAATAGATTATGAATTCTTATTATCATTGTAATTGCCATAATAATCTTTAGACTACTGCACATTTCTGTGATTGATTTTCAGAGCTGTAGTAATAAATTACTCATCATTAATATTATTAGAGTGTTATATGAGGGTGTGCTATAGGTAGGGCATGTAGCATGGACATGGAAATTGAAGTGTATATAAAATTTTGTTTAGACAACCTCAAAGGAAGAAACCACTTGGAGACCTAGACACAAAGAAGAAATTGTATTAAAATGAATATTTGAGAAGGAGTGAAGGTGTGGACTGGATTGGACTAACTTAGGGCAAGGTCCAATATCAGCATTTTACAAACAATAAGAGTGAAATTTTGGGCTTCCTCAAAAAGAAAAAAAAAAAAAAAAAAAAAAAAAAAAAGAGAGAGAGAGAGAGAGAGAGAATTGCTTGACCAGCTGAATATTTAAAACTATGTATATTTAAGAAGAGCCTATAACACAGAGCTGGTTATTATTACATGGTGTCATTATTCTGATTTACTACACAACAAGAGCAGTTTCCTTCCCGTCATACTGCTGTATAGAATGCAATGAGCCTAACTGATCAACACAACTTGCCTGAATTTGGTAGTCTCTGCAACATAATCAATAATATCCATGCGTTCTCCCTTCCACATGACTCCAGCAGCAGAGATCTCACATTCACCACACTGCAGCATCCCTACTATTCCAGTGAAGCAGCTGGATCCATTTAAAGGATATCCCCATGTGTCTGTTAAGGTTACATTCATCCTGCCAATAAATTTTATATACCCTGATACTTGAAAATGATCATAGCATTTGTTAGATGCTGTTCAGACCTCATAATTTTTGTTAATTCATATATTAAACTTTACTATTGTTAATGCAATAGAATGTAATGTATTCAATTATTCTGCTATGTTTAATGTATCAAGATATTCTGTATAAGGGGTACTTAAATTACTCGTTTGATAGCATCAAGATACAACAAACTTAAATGTTGTGACAAAGGATTCACTATTAAATGGCTAGGCTACACGAGCCTTATGCATGGAATAATTATTAACTTAAGCTTTAAGATAAAAAATCCACTGCAACTGCTACTTGGTCTTCAGTTATGAAGCATACTTGTCCATGTACTGTCCTGTTCTCCATATACAGGAAAAATTCACATACAGCATTCCAAAATTGGAGAAATGACAGAAAAAAAAAAAGATAATGGATTTAATGGATACTAGCTACATATTTTTTTTTCTCCTTGGCACTAGAGCCCCAGTGGGCCAAGGCCTACCTCCATGAACTTCTCCGTTCACACTAGCTACATATACATCCTATTTTATGACTGATATAATTGATTTTAATTAAAACAACACCTTTTGTATTCTACAACGACAATATTTTGGTAAAACAAAAAGGAAAAAGCTGTCATATATGAATCAGAACAAGTATGTTTTCGGTTTCCCAGTATAATCTTCCTTGAGTTTGAGGCATTTCCTCTATTTCATGGCCAGAAAAGAAATATGCCTGAAAAATAGAAGTCTTTGGTTTTCTCCTCAACCACTTTGAAAGAGCATGTGTAGATTCACTGTTACTTGAAAATGGTGGAGCATATAAACACTTCTTTAAGTATTAGAACAGAATTGCATTTTGTGACTTGTGCATAGGAGCTCTGCCATGAAGAAGCAGGACCTTCTGTTTTCACCTTCTCTCATCATTCTCCTTCATGGACTCTTTTAAATTCTGAACCACAGCAACATAGGTATTCCTGAAGATTGTTGCCTTGTGTGACATGTAATCCATTGGCAAATTCCCTCACAATCCTAAAACACAATGGCTCTGATATTTCCAGCCTGTAGTGGTGCGTAGAATTACTTGGTAGTAGGTGAGCCACCATTTTTCCATTGCATTATCCTGTTTTGTTTCAGGATCCCAGTAACAGAGTGAAGTTTCACCATCTGTAATGATTCTTCAAAGAAATTTTTATGGATCTGTTTCAGAGAGTTGAAAATTTTCCCAAGAAAGTTTAACACTCCACTGCTCTATACTGGGGTCAACATTCTTGGAACTGAAACGGAAATAGCTTTTAGCATGCCTAGGCTATTATGGTGGATAGCCGAAACAGGGAGTTGTGACACACTACATTCTCAAGCAATTGTAAACACTTTAAATGCCTGTTATGCAAGGCCAGGTTTCTAACTTTGGACACAATTCTGAAGCAGTCATTTTTACCGGTCTTCCAGTTCAGGGGTCCCTGTCAGTGGATTCTCTATGCCAGTTGAACTGTTTAGACCAATATGCAGTTTCACCACATGCAGCCAGCATCCATTCACGATTACTCATTGGTCCAGTCCTATTTGTCAGGAATTTAATAATGAACCAATGCTCTAACCTAACAAAATCCATGTTTACATGCAAGTAGGTTGATTTGCACTGCAGCCACAACACAAGTGCCAAAAGACTAAGCTGGAATTATGCACACAACATTTAAGGCATGTCAGAATACATTCATGAGAAACGGATTTGATTTCAAGTTCCTACACTTTTATTTGTGTATCATGAAAAAATCAACTTTAAAATAATGAGAATAGATCTATTAAGTCACCTGAAGTTCAGCAATTCAGATATGTAAGTCATTAACATGTAATGAACCTTGGCTTCTGTGTTGAAGTGTTTGTAGTGTACATCCAGGTATGTGTCCCATGTGTCGTCCATCACCTGAAGAGGAAAGTCAACATAATATTTATATTAGCATATATTTTTTATGCAGCCTTAGTATTTGTAATCCACTTTCAATATGTTAAACATAATCTTTCAAAGCATTGTGGGCACTATATGTATCATCTGTTTAAATTAAAAAAAGAAATGCTTCAATTTGCTCACAGAGTGTACTTAAAATTTCATATGATTCTCAAAATAATGGTTATTTCCCTATACAGCATTAGGTGCTACGTTTTATAATGAGAAAACTGTCAGTAGATAGTGATTAATTTGATATTTACTAGAACAGAAGTTTTTAAATGAGTTCCATTATAGTTGTTTCTCTGAGGTCCAGAGGGAAAGTGATGTCCTGCACTCCAGTCACGGGGTGGGGTGATTATTAGAGGTTCTTGGAGTCCAATCCTGTATACATCATGCAATAAAACTTGTTTCATGTTGGCTCCAATGTGTGCTATAGTCATGTGACTATCTAATTGCAGGTCCAGTGGTTCCAGAGCAGTAATCAGTGAATCCTCACTTGATGAGGGCGTCTCTCCAGACAACAGCAACCAATGGTGTAGACTGCTGAACTGCTTCTCTTGAGATGCCTGATAATATAAATTGAGTTTCGTTTCAGAAACGGGGACCAGCTTATAAAATTTCACACATGAACACTATAACTGTATAGTTGGAATCTGAATTATTCACTTCATTAATTTCTACTGTAACAATTTCATAAAAACAAATTAATATAAGCATTATCATACAAAAATTTAGAATCCTACTATAAAATTTTATTGGCAACAATAATGGTTTTTTAGATATTTTATTTTAAAAATGTGGCAAATATATTATCACAGAATGGTATGACCTTCTTTTAAAGTTTAGTGAAAATTCAACTGAAACTGATAAAGAAAACACAGGCAGACAACATGCACAACATTCCAATTGAAGAACACTGTGTGATAAGAGGCCCATTGAATGTTTCCTAAATTTGTAATAAATACATGAACAAGAATGATTAGGGGTACTCCACTGAGACATATACATAATTTCCAAATGATTTCTTGCCAGTCTTCCATAGACAACTATCCTGATATTTATTTACTGAATATATTAACCTCCTGTGAAGCAAAGCATAATACTGATACGCTGCATAAGTGATTCCTTGTATTTCCTTAACTATTCATCACTTCAAAATACGCTTCAAACAAAAGTTGTATATCTTAATGAGTTTCATAATTTACCTCTTTTATCGCTGTTGTATTTGATGAGCTGGACTGGGGAAAATCAATGAAGTGTGATTTGATCTTCATGAAAGGTGTTTTAGACCACAATGCATTACAACTAAATTTGCCTGGCAATTTTTAGTGTAGGCCACTGGTACTAAATTTAATAAAATCTGTCAGTAATGTAAAATACATATAATATGTGAGGATGGAGATATATAAAATAGCCTCCCCATTATGCATTAATATAGCCATTTGGTGCATGAAATGAATAAAAATAGTTAAAAATTTGGAACATTTCTGATCAAACTCATGCCATATTCCATGGTAGTTACGGATTCCAGACATTTCTGTGGCTTGGTATCAAATGCTTGGTTAAGTTAGGTCAGCAAGTCCACGTTTGTCGAGAAACAATAAACCACTCCTTATCATCAATTTACCATCAGCTTTTGCCTGGAATATCTTCTCACCAAACAGGATAGCTTAATAGCAATGCAACTGGCGCAGTTTTTGCATTTCCCAGTTCAAGTCATGATCAAGAATTGTCTCTACTGTATCCTCCCTGGCGAATGGTTAGAATTAACTGGTGGTATTTTGCCGTCAAAAAAATTCCGTGATTTTAGTCTGCAAGCGAAGTATACCGACCAACCACCTCTGTGGTCTAGTGGTTAGCGTTCCTAGCTACAAATCCTGAGGTCCGGGTTCGATTCCCGGAGATTTTTTTCTGAGAAGTAGTGGGTCTGGAACGGGGTGCACTCAGCCTTGTGACAATAATTGAGGAGCTATTTCAAGAAAATAGTGACTCCGGTCTGAAAAACCGAAATTACCGGCGGTGGGGATTCGTTGCGCTGACCATGCGACACCCTCTATCCGCAAAAGTTGGCACTAAACTTCGCCAACAAGCGGCGGTCGCTAGGTCGGTATTTTGCCATCAACACAACAATAAAAATGAAGCAATTGAACTGCTCACATTGGTTTTATTGGATAGTTGCTACATGTGTCAGTCCATATTTGGGGCTATCTTCAAGCAATCTCATCAAACTATCAAATAAAAGCAATGTGAGCAGTTTTATTGTTTTTTTTTGTTGTTCTGTTGATGACCATACACCACCAATAATGATACAGAACAAGATGCAAACAGTAAGATAGTTAGAATTAGTTGGCCCACCTTACAACTGAATAAGATCACCTCCTGCCACAACCCTCATATTTTTATCATCTTATCTAATGCTACATGATAGATTCATAAAACTACAAAGAATAAAATGTTGTAATACTATAGTTCTAGTGTTGGCCATATTTATCATGTGATATATGTTGTTCATAAGTTGGTACCACACCCGCTGCTACTTCTTTTGTTAATGTACCTTTGGTATCTTGTAATGTTTGTGAATGAAGTTAGTCTCCAGTAAACGTTAGATTTGGACGAAGGCGTTTCATTTCTTATCCGTTTTTACCTCGATGATCCAATGTGATTTCACAAAGGAAACAACATAAAACCTCAGTAACAACACATTGTATTTGAAACCAAAAGAGAATTTACATTTCTTTGGTGTTAATCAGCAGCCTTTCATCCATACCTGAGCAAGCAGATGGTTACTGCCACTGCAATTAAGGTCTAGTATCACTGCCAGGTGGTAATAGTCAGTCATCAACATGGCTGGAAGTAAATCCTGGTCCAGTGAATATGCTGTCAAATGGATTCCATAGGCTGCCCACAGTTTGGTCAGCCTTACATTATCTAGAGCATATGAATTACATCAATTTTCAGAACATGTGGATTTCTTAAGGCATATCTGAGTCCCAAAATTTTAAGATAAAGAAGAGGAACATATTACAGCTAAATATCAGACTCCATAGAATGTGTTTTAAAAGGAGTTACAGAGTTTTCAAAATATTCACTCTGACTTCATCACTGCAACTTCGATATGGTCAAGAAAACATCACATACACCCATGTTGTGCCCCAATCAGGGCACAGGTGGCAGACACACTCTGACAGTTTTATGACTGTTCATATGGATGTGATGCCCTGACCTGTAACTGCCCATTGGGAACTGCTATATAATCAACCCCACGTCCCCTGAAGATATGTAAGCATACAGAGATATTGCATAGGCCTTTACATTAGGTTTGGAATTGCCCTCATGTTCTATAAGGATAACTTCTCTAACATATTTCATGTTCACAAGTCGTGGTAATGGTCCCCACATCACCTAAGACAGGAAGGTTTTTGTGTCTCTCCTTCTTATCCCCCCAGTAGAAGGCTGTTACCTAAGGCTCTAGAGAGGGTCCAAATATTGTGGCTTCTTCATGGCTTTCTTCTCCACAGCCAGACCCCAGCAAATGACAAAGGTTAGTGCATCTGGACCGATGGCTGCATGTCATAAACACAAGTTTCCTCTTAACATGGCATGCTGATAATAGTTAAGCCTAAGAAGGCATTATGCCAATTTTATATCCAGAAGTAGTCAGACATAAGATGATCTGTGAAGAACACTTCCAGGTTCAGAGATGGATTCCCTTTGGTTAGTTAAGAAGAAGCCTTCATGGCTAGTATACATGGAATTAGATTCACCGAATTTTTTTAAATAAGCAAATATCAAGAAATATTGCAAAAATGAAACAGAAATGTTTGTGTTTACTGCAGTATGGATTCATAAAGATATTGTTTTTAATTCGCCTATGGGCCTCCATGCCTGTTACAGGGATAGCTTTACATTTTATCCTTTATGAAGAACAAATACGATTTTAATGAGCAATTATATGTACATAGTATGTGTAGCATAATTTGAAGTGGAGGCTCATGGCCGCTGAAGAAGCAGGGCCAGGATCAATAAAATTTCAACCCCTACCCCATGCCAATATTTAAGAAGAAGGGGGAAGATTTACTTAAATTAACATAAATGTTTATATTTTAAAAGCTTATTATTTACATTATTAATAATCTTCACAATTTTACTCTAATTTGTGTTGTCAAGAACATTGTAAACAAGGGGCTGTGTCACATCGTGACCTGCGACTTAACACCTCTTAGTAGAAATACAGTGTCCCAATGGGCTGGGAGGAATATTCAAATGCTGCCAAGCTCATCCTATCCTAACTCCCATGGGTCAACAAACACACAGATGAACGAACATACTGACAATTTTATACTGTAGGCATGTCAGCAGTGGTTTGCAGGAGTGCAAAAATTCACTGTTTATATGGGTTACCGGGTTGGACCAACATCTTACTTTGAGGCTTTTTGGTAATGATAGTGGCGAGATATATTTGGCATGTAATCACTACTAAATTGTCTTTAAATTCAGTTTCACACTTCTTCATCAACTTCTCTTCATGTATGGCAATGTTCAGATCATATCCTTGCAATATCTATGCAATGTAAATTAGGCTTTGTTATATTTTTTCACAAGTCTACTTTCATTTACACTGTGCTAAGTCTGTAATTGGCCTTGCAGCTGTTGACTTGGCACATAAATAATAAAGAATTGAATTGAATTGAATTGAAGTCTATATCTTATATTACTTCACATGAAAAAATCTTTACTGTTTGGAATTTTCCATACCAGTAATATTATGATTTTTTCTTCTGACATATGACACTGTTATTCCAGTGAAAAGAAAATCCAGCATCATTGTTAGGGCTATTTGGGATTAAGCTCTTGTTTTCTGGGATATAACGCCGTGTAACCCACTGAAATTCAGCCGGCGTTTCGGAGGCAATATATTCATCCAGAATGTTGGTTGACTTTCAATGGACTACAGGGCAGTATATCTTGGAAGACAGAAATCATCAATATTATTAGCTACTGATTGTAAGAATTGTAGCATTCCTCAAGATAATGGAATTAAATTTCTTACCTGCAGTATTCAAACAAGTAAAAAACATGGCAGCTGGCCATTTCTTCCCATCAAGGAAACTACTGATGAGGTCACTTACATAAATGTCAGTGATCAGTTCAGCCTCTCTCCATACAGTACAGAGGACAAGCACAGCTCCTACATTTGGCCAAATTCTCATTGTAGCAGCACCCTCTCACAATATGAAAATGTATGAACAGAATGTAGCAATTAGTACGTAGTCGTGATTCTGGAAATTGGAGATATATGCTCTGATAGAGAACATGTATTTTAGAGATGGATTATTTTTGTTATTTTAATGCATCTTTGGCCGTATTCTTTCATTGTAAATACAAATCTATTATTGTAAACCAAATGACACTGCAGATAGTAACACCATCAATAGAGTCATAAATTATTTTTCCTTGTATCCTGCTAAATGTTCACCATATTAAATGTTATTTGAAACAAAATTTTAATGACATCTGCATTAGAGTATCAAAGAATCTCAAGTCTGAATGGAGCTTAACGTAAAGAAGAAGCAACATTACATAAATATGAACAACAATTAAACTCACTCTAAAAATTTTAGTGTAGATGTCCAATACCTAACTCCAATCCATTAAGGATTTTTGGAGATCTAACATGTGAAGGAACTAATGACTTGATATTATTTTCCCAGTATACATTCATTTGCATATTTCGAAGGACATACATGAAAAGTTCAGCAAAGAACAAAGCATATTAATACACACATTCAGATAATTGTGTGACTTATTATCTAGAAAGTGAATGTGTAACAAGTGTGTCAAAGCCAAATGAAAGAATGAATTGTCTTACAGTTCTTCGTTTGGCTGTAAACCGGGTATAATTCACGAAGGATTTCCGCGGCACTCATGTTTCTTCCCCGTGATAAAAGCGAATAACGGCGCGAATTTCGCAGATTGGCGAATTTTCAATTGCAGGACACAATATAACTCGTTCTGTAGAGACAAGAACAAACACTAGCTGACTAGTTATGTGATGGTTTACAAGGCAATGAGTCACGTGACTATACCTCCATGCATGAGCTCTCCCCCACTCCTAAATTAGTTGCCTAAATTAACGGAATTTACACTCTGAATAGCCCTCATATTATTTCATAATGAAAAGGATTATTGACGGTGTTACTAAGATGACCTGAATGCTGCTTGTGTTTGTACACGCTTCTTAACATTTCCACGTGTATCAGTGACTAGAGACGGAGTTTTATGTTGAATAATTGGACTTACTGCACCCTTTAACACACAGCTTGTCACTACACTGAATTTTAGCGCAACCGCTGATTTCCACAATTTACAAATCACTAGTGCTCACGCTAAGCCTTTTCTAACCCACAGTGGCTTCACTAGTAGTTGCCTGGTAACGGATTTTAACAGTGGAGATTCCTCTGCTTCCGTGCTCAAGTCCTCTTTGAATATGGACTTCCTTCCAACTGTCTCTGTTACACCTGCCTATCTCCCAGTCTGGCGGCCATATCAAACCAACCTCTAGTCCTTTCTCCACAGGCTGACTGACAACTGACTAAGCAAAAAGTTAAAGTCAATGTCAAAGTCAAAGTTACTTCACGACTGGCGGTTTACCGCCAGTCACTTCGTCTGGAGTCAAGCCACTTGAGGCTCATGAGCAGATATTTTTCTTTAAGCTGAACTCTTTCGGTAATAGTCCTCATGTAACGTCCTCTTTGTTATGAATATGCTTAGCCTTTCGTCAAACGTACGTGTCGCACATATAGCATGTTACTTAAAATTGTTGCTTTTTCACTAAATAAAAGTCCTCTGCCAGTCCAGGTTTTGCAAAGCAGATCATGCCTATCTTGCGTATCTTATGCTACAATAGCAGCGTAAGGTTGACCAGCGCTAAGTTTAAGCCTCTTATATTTTTGACTAACCTTAAGTCAAGTCAAAGTTAAAGTCACATTGCGACTGACGGTCAGTCAGTCAGAAAGTCTTGGTGTCGAGCCCCATCTTGGGCTCATGACCGGATATTTATTATTGTTTGACAGTTACGGTCTTTTTTTGTGGGGCGCCCTCTCTAGCCAGAGGATGGGTCTGTCCTTTGTATATGCTTCTGGTCCTTGCCAGCGGTCTTTCTCGGGTCCGAGTCCCTTGGGACAAGCGACCATATTTTACTGTCTCAGATTTGAGACTTCCCTTTTTGTCGCCTCCTATGACTCGCAGGGTCACGGTGGAGGTATTCGACCCCGCCTCCACACGGGTTAGTTATTCTGGGATTTTCCAATTGTCTCTTCTGACTAAGCTTTACTCTGTCCCTTGTTTAAAACAACTTGACACGGGCCACGTAGAAAACACCGTTCCTATGTTGCATGCGTATCCGCTGCTGCGCGGAAGTGTTTACCGAGCCGTTCCCTAACAGCGGCCGTCTATTCTAGCTTATTAAGAATATGCGGCCTAGCAACGGAAGTCGTTCCGTTTGTGTTTCACGGTCGTTGCCTAGAAAAGAATGTTGTTCCAGAGCCGTTCGCTAGCAACGTCTGTTTCACTCGCTCCGTAGTTCTTGCTTCGAGCAAATATGCCACAATATGAATCCTAGGGCATTCTTCTACTCTGAGATTTCAAAGAATTGCTGTTGTTCATCTTACCGACTAACGAAACAATAGCCTCCCAATGCGCACTTTGTTTTTCAGAGGAAAACAAAAACAAAAAACAGAAAGAAAAAAAAACAAGTAAATCTGAATAGATGGTTCTCATTCAACCAGAACATCTCGCATACTAAGTATTCTGAGTTAATTTGCCAGTATTATAAATGATAGAATTCTTTAAATACTCTGAGGATTTACGAATAAAGACATAACTTTACTTTGAGATTCGTGGTATATGGAAGGAGAAAACAAGAAATGCATAGAAAATTTGATTGGCGGTGTGGAAAATCAGTTTTTATGTGTAGGTTTTGCTGATGTAAACGGAATCCAGCTAGCCCAAGATAGATTATTATATAGAGCTTTGTGGTGATGATGAAATTTTGGGTCACACAACGACAAGAAGTCTTCTGAAAAACTGAATAGCTCTTGACTGTCCAGCGAGTACTCTGTTTATGAATAAGCAGTGCCAAAATATGTAAGACAGACGTGTATGCTCACTAAAACATAAACGTAGTTCTACTCTTCGACAGTATAGCAAGATTGTGTCACTAATACAACTTCTGGTGGGTCCAAAACCAAACAGCGGAGAAACCTTATTGCACATCTGGAAACCTTTATACTTTTCTCCGGTCACGTAACATATAAATTTTAAATAAAGAACGGCGCCAGTTTACAAAATCTGAAAATCAAACAAAGATATTTACTGCCTTTTGTTTTTTCATCCATTGTGGTGAGAAATTAATACTAGCAAAGGAAAGTATTTTGTATGATTACTTAGTTCAAAGAGAATTGTTCACAAACTTCAGGCCTTTCTCTTAAATATGTTATTGACTAATTATGAGTACCGGATATTAAAAACTCAAAACACTGCAGCGAATTTACATAATCTGTTTCTCATAGTGCAAAATTAATATTCAAATTTATCTTTGTCCGTCATTTAAAGCCACGTTCACACCAATCAAGTTGCTTAAATTCCAGTCTCTTGAAAATAACAACATGAGATCACTTAATTAGTGTGAAATGTTTCAAGTTCTAGTCACGTGTACTGGAAAAACTGTTTCAAGTTTCTAGTAAAAAAAGTAAGGTAAATAAAGCTATCACTCTAACAGGCCGAGAAGGCCAATAGGGTTGTGAGACGTCGAAGCTCCCACATTTTCTCTAGTCAATCGGCTCAGAGATGGCGGTAAGGTTGTCGGCCTTAGCGCCGGCTGCCCTTTACCACCCAGGAAGTGTCCTGGTACTCATTTCTGTTAGAGGCTGAGTCAATCCCAGGGCCGTAGTGCGGCTGGAAGGATTAGGTAAATTGAAAAACTCCAATGACCCCACCGGAAATCGAACCCGCGACTTTCTGGCCTGTAGCATAATGCCTCAGCCAACTATGCTACCTCGTGCACCCTTCAAGTTACTAGCAAAAACCAGTTCAAAATTTCTTAACTTGAATTAAGTTAAATAAAACCTTGAAAGACGTGAACTGCTGTTTCACCCTTAAATTAATTTTAACGAATGAAAACAGCTGTATTTTTTCGCAGGCTAAATGAGTTATAAATAGTATAACTAAATCTACAAATCTTTGTATGTGTACGAAAAATACAAACTTTTACGGAAAACTGAAAGCCCGAAGTACTGTAACGGAAATTCGATAGATAGTAGTAANTATAAATAGTATAACTAAATCTACAAATCTTTGTATGTGTACGAAAGATACAAACTTTTACGGAAAACTGAAAGCCCGGCAGAGATAATAAAAAATTGTCCTCATTGCCAATATAGCGTACTCGTAATATTATTACAAATTTTAGTTGAAATCATATTTTTTTCTGTATTTTCGGCCCCACCACAGATATTTCTTCTAGCTTTTCAGCTGAAAATATTCTATTCTTTCATGCTTTAGGCTTTAATGCCCGTTGCACCTACAACTGATCTTACCATGTTTTCCTTAGGGGTCCCAGATCTCAATTCCTTATAGGATTACATTCCATTATCAATTTAGGCATTCGTGTAACTTTCATCCTTTCTCTCTTAGAACTATATGTTATGACTGACATTAAACACATTTCACACCTTAGGGAAGTTTAATTACTTACAACCTACAAAAGTGGAGTGGCATTCTTACGTGATCTTTATAGGTTCCTCTGTCCTCTAAAGCCAAATTTGAATAAGTGTACCAGGGTCACCAAACTGATTTTTCTTCCATAATTCACTTCCTCGCCCAAACAGGTCCTCTTATTTTACTTTCCCAGTACATTTGCTGCTTCAGTCTACGAGTAAGCAAGAGCGCTACATGGGCATCATCATCATCATCATCATCATCATCATCATCATCAGTAATCTGTCAGACGACAGGTCCACAGTCTCTTCCAAAACAATTCCTCCACTTAATGCGATCTAGAGCTTTCTCCTTCAAATGACAGTATCCTCTTCTGTCCCCAAGGTCATCCAGCATCTTCTTACGTCTTCTTGTCACTTCTATCCGCCCCTCTATCTTTCCTTCAATAACTTCTTTTAGAAGGCAGTTTCTGCGTAAAACATGACCAATCCAA